TGATAATTACAATAATTATGATAGTGATAATTACAATAATTATGATAGTGATAATTACAATAATTATGATAGTGATAATTACAATAATTATGATAGTGATAATTACAATAATTATGACCTAGATGATAATTATCGTGTCGTTCGATCGCTCCTCGCTATAATACACATCGCAGCGGCTGCGTCAACGTTCTCTTGTTTCCTCGCGCTCGCTCGTAGATCAGAGCCGTCACTTTGACTCTCTGTACGTGTTCGGCTGTAACGGCATCCTGGTGGAGCATCCGCTCGAGCCTCGCGCCCCGCCCGCGCTCACCAAGCTCACCGAGGATTCGCCCCTCGACCTGAATCTCAGCACCAGGTAAGCAGGTGGGTGTGGGGTTGCAAGAAACCTAGAGGTGACCTCTGCCTGACCTTAATGTGACCTCTGGCTGACCTTAATGTGACCTCTGGCTGACCTTAATGTGACCTCTGGCTGACCTTAATGTGACCTCTGCATGACCTTTCTGCAACCTCTGTGACCTTACGATGACCTCAATGCAGTCTCATCGTGACTGTGTGATCTTATGACGTCTGTGACCTCAATGTGACAAGTCTTCTGTGTGACCTGTGCCACACCTCGCCGTGACGTCTGTGTGACCTCGACCTGACCTCTTGTGTGGTATCTGTGCGACTTCTGTATTGTGTGACTATTGCGTGACATCCATCCATGTTACTTCTGTATGATCTGTGACTTGTTTGACTTTGCTGTGACATGCAGTAACAGTCTGTGACATGCTGTAACATGTCGTGACATACTGTAGCATGTCGTGACATACTGTAGCATGTTGTGACATACTGTAGCATGCCGTGACATGCTGTAACATGTTGTGACATGCTGTAACATGCCGTGACATGCCGTGACATGCTGTAACATGCTGTTACAATACATGTGGCAATGTAAATGTACATGTATATATATATGTGGCAATGTAAATGTATATGTATATGTATATAATAGATGTGGCAATGTAAATGTACATGTATATATATTATATATATATGGCAATGTACATGTATATGTATATTATATGTGGCAATGGCAATGTACATGTATATGTATATATAGATGCATCAATGTAAATGTACATGTATATATATATATATGGCAATGTACATGTATATGTATATATATGTGGCAATGTACACGTACATGTACATGTACATGTATATATATATGTGGCAATGTACATGTACATGTATATATATGTGGCAATGTACATGTACATGTATATATATATATGGCAATGTACATGCATGTACATGTATATATATATATGTGGCAATGTACGTGTACATGACCATGATATGATAATGTGGCAAATGTACATGTTACATTAATTAATTATGTGCGCAGACATGTACATAGTTACATGTATAATAATATGTGGCAATGTACATGTAACATTGATACATGTCATTGTATATATTGTGGCACAATGTACATGTACATGTACATGTAGTATATATGGCAAGTAGCTGTAACATGTTACACATGTATATATGGGAATACATAATATATATGTGGCAATGTACATGTACATGCATATATATATGTGGCAATGTACATGTACATATGATGTACATGTATATGTATATATGTGGCAATGTACATGTACATGTACATGTATATGTATATGTATATTATGTGGCAATGTACAGTACAATGTACAAGTGTATATATGTGGCAATGTACATGTACCATGTACTATTAATAATATGTGGCAATGTACATGTACATGCATATATGTGTGTATGTGGGGATGTACATGTATATGTATATATGTGGCAATGTACATGTACATGCATATATGTGTGTATGTGGAGATGTTAGCATGTAACATGTAACATATGTATATGGGAATATGCACTCGTACAGTATAATGTGTGTTTGTAATGAGCACAACACCTAATAATACAGGTATAACTATAGCTACACACCTAATATGCACGAGTATGAAAGCGACACACTGTATAACAGGTAGTTAAGTGAGGTAGCTAAAACGATGTGCGTACCTGACGATCCTCCCTCTATGAGCAGCAGGCTCGCAGGGCCTGAGTGGTTGGTGCTGCTGCTGCCGCTGACCCTGCTACCGTGTCCGGTTACCCGGGGCATGGCCACTGGGCTGGATCTGAATGGCTGCACCCTGCAGGGTGAAACGACAGCTGTTACTAGTGGTGCGTGGACGGACAGGCGGGAAGGCAGGCAGGGGGAGGTATGCAGACAGGCAGGCAGGCAGGCAGGCAGGCAGGCGGGGGCGGGCAGACAGGCAGTGCAGGCAGGCCAGGCAGGCAGAAGGCAGACAGGCACGTGGGTGGACAGGTGGAAAGGCAAGCAAACGGGCAGAGAGGTGTACGCGAAAAGTGTACCTGAGACACAGGTATGTACTCCAGGCGTACCTGAGACAAGCGTATGTACTGCAGCGCGTACCTGAGACAAGCGTATGTATCAGGCCATACCTGAAGACAGTATGTAATCAGGCATACCTGAGACACACACAGGTACATAATCCGGCGTACCTGAGCCCCAGACAGGTCTGTAATCAGGCGTACCTGAGACACACAGACAGGTACATAATCCGGCGTACCTGAGACACAGACAGGTATGTAATCAGGCATACCTGAGACACAGGGTATGTATCAGCTGTACCTGAGACACAGACAGGTCTGTAATCCGGCGTACCTGAGACTGCTCAGCTCCTGCTCATCGTAGTCCATGCGATGATCTGCGTCTCGGGACTCTGAGACAGCAGCGCCGACGACGACGAATTCAACACCGCGCCGCTCGAAGCGTTCACCGTCTTGAAGGAGAACTGAGTCCCATCCACAGCCGGTGCGGCCCCGCATGGGTCACTATCTCACCTGGTGTGCAATCAAAAACAGCGGCGCGTAAAGGAAGGCACACGCGTCGCACGGGTTAGGTTGCGTTACGCAGCAGCAAGTGGCAGCACCATCCATAGCCTGTATCTGTGACGGGTATAGGGGGCAGCACATGTACATGTGACGCACATAGAGGGCAGCACGTACACTTGTGATTGATAAAGAGGGCAGCACGCGTATCTGTGATGGACATGGGGGGCAGCACATGTATCTGTGATGGACATAGGGGGCAGCACGTGTACCTGCGAGACCCACTGGTCGTCGTCGCCCTGGTCTGAGGCGACGCTCTCGTGTGATCCGTGATGAGAGAGGCCGCCACTGCTCGACGTTCGCCGTGGCAATGCTGCGACAAACAAACAAGCGAACGTTAGCAGAGCTGGGTTGGGGGTTAGCATATTACAGTTAGAATTAGCAGTTAAGTTGAATTTAAAGTGAGGATTAGGGTTAGATATAGGGTTAGGGTGTGGGTAGGGTTAGTGTTAGTGTTAGTGTCAGGGTTAGAATTAGTGTTAGTGTCAGGGATAGGGTTAGTGTTGGTGTCAGGGATCGGTTAGAATTAGGGTTAGCAGGTTAGAGACAGCAGAGTGGGAGACACCAGGTGAGAGAGCAGAGTGAGAGACACCAGGTGAGAGACACCAGGTGAGAGAGCAGAGTGAGAGACACCAGGTGAGAGAGCAGAGTGAGAGACACCAGGTGAGAGAGCAGAGTGAGAGACACCAGGTGAGAGAGCAGAGTGAGAGACACCAGGTGAGAGAGCAGAGTGAGAGACACCAGGTGAGACACCAGGTGAGAGACACCAGGTGAGAGAGCAGAGGGAGGAGTAAGTAGTAGTGTAAGACTCACGTCCACAGCCAGTAGAATCTCCTCCCAGCAGCGGGTTCGTGCTGCTGATGGGCATGCGCAGCTCCGGGCTCGACGGCAGCCGATAGATGAGCCACTGACACTTAGAACACACCGACGCAGAACATGTTACGGTATGTCCACGGCATGTTTCAGCATGTCACGATTGTTAGCAAGCATGTCACGGCATGTTACAGCATGTCATGGCATGTTACAGCATGTCACGGCATGTTACAGCATGTCACGGCATGTTACAGCATGTCACGGCATGTCCACAGCATGTTACGGCATGTCGTGGCATGTTTAGGCAGCATGTCCATGGCATGCATATCAGCATGTCGGCG